CCACGGGCACCTCCTCAGAAGAGTAGGGATGTCACACACACTCTTTCAGCATGTTAAACCACTAAGATGTGCAGCTCATCCTAAGTGCCTCCATGGTTCTAACAACCATAGCAACAAGTGAACCTGGGAAATAAAGATTTTAGCCTTCCATTTCTTATGATAAAGGGGAGTAGCAAAGATGATGGAAACGTATGTGGAGTATCATTAGAAAATATTTAAGGTAAGGTTTCAAACACCATTCTAGAAAAATATTCACTTCAGTACTTTCACTTACAAAGGCTGACAAATATCAAACTGTTCCTATTGATCTAAGTTTAGCAAGACCACATCCTCACCTGTGGGGAAAGAGCTGAGTCAGTGACTCTGAACCCTACCTTAGTTGCCAGCTTCCCAGCATTCTAGTAAACCAAAGTTCCAGAAGTAAAGATGTTGGGACAGAAATTAGGAACAATCTATTCAAGCAGTGTGACAGGGAAACAAAAGAAGAGCTTGTCATTTGGGAGATTTTTATAGTTCATGGTAATAAGGCAGAGAAGAAAGAGAGACTGAAACTCCAAAAGAGAAAAAAAAGGGAAGAGAAGAGCTACCTGGTGATGCAGTGTTCTGCAGAAGAAAAAAGTAAAAGTAACGCCATTCAGAGATGGAGGATTTGGTCTTGGGAAAGAGGAGAGTGTACTTCCATTAATCCAAAAGTGATAGAATACAATTTGAGTGAACTTACTTGATGATTTCTGTTTTTCACTTTTGATATCAAGGTCTATTTATTCTCTGATAATTGAGGACACAGTTGAGGAAGAGAGTTTAAAGATTTAAAATACACACACATGCATACACATCCACAAATCATCTTTTATATTGCTGTTGTATTCAACATTTTTGACTCTCACCTTATCCTGAATCCTGAGGAAATACTGTTTTGTAATCCCATGATTCATCTTCAATTTGAAATTTTTCAACTTAAAATATTTACTCATCCAAGATATCTTTTGCAGGTGCATTATATTCTTCAACTCTCTTTCTTTTCTTCTACATGAATATCTTTGGGCATATGCTTTCAGAATTTTGCCTTATAGGGGCATCTTCACTTTGGGATGCTTTTTTTTGTTAGATGGGGGAACATAATATTTGATGTATTATTTTCACTTTATTTCCAAACATCTATGCATATATCTGCTTATTGCCCTCTTCCTTTTTCATAAAGTTTCTTGTACTTTTACTTTACTTATTAGTTCTTTTTTATTTAATTGTATTCTTTTATTTTATCAGAATTAAAGTCAGAGGAGCAACTCCTCTTATTGTTCCTTTACCTGTTACAATATAAAGTAATTACCAAGGCAGACTTTTTATAAGTTTTCTCATTTATACTTTGATCAAACTATGACTTAGGCATATGTTTAAATATCAAAATGCTTATCAATGTTATTTAGACCCTGAGAGTCATTTTAAAGAAAGGGTAACTGAGAATAATATTTGTAAATGTCCTTTGATGTATATCCATCAACTCACCCTTACAACAGCAACTTGACATTTTGCTTATAAGAAAACTGGTACCCAATAAGTTTAATTTGCCTAGAATCATACAGCAACTCCAGAGACTGTTCCTATCTGACTCTTAGACCGTGACACCAAGTCTTTGCTATTATACACAGCAGATATTTCTAAGCTGAACCTCAGTATTGTATATTTTACCTACCATTTGACTAAAATATTGATAGATGCCAATGAATACAAAATAAAGTGATAGTAAGAGAATGGTTACCAGAGAAGGATAGCAAAGACTATGATGACTAATATTTACTAAGTGCTTAGTATATTTCAAGTTCTGTTTTATGTGTTCTTCATTATTTAATACTCATAGCATCCTAGCAGTGGATATTATTCTAATCTCTATTTTAGGGAGAAAAATACTGATGATTGAAAAGATTAAGAGACTTGTCCAAGGCTGAAGTTGACAAAAGTAGCAAGACCAGACTTTGGATCCATAGATTCTGATTATATATATCCAGGCTCTTCATCGAACCCTATATTGGTACCAGTCGAGGTGAAAAGGAAGAGTAAATAAATATGTGTTTGCATCATTGTCCTATTTATTCTTTCAGGGATAGGTGGCATTCATTATTAAGATGAAAGGTGCTACGATGTAATTTAGAAAAATATGCTAACAATGATGGGAGCACTGCATATGGAATTCACATCCACAAGCCCTATTTGAAACACTGGACTGCGTTTGATTATCTTTTACAATATGCTTGCATACACCCAGTGAGCTTAGATATTTCAGGATCTTGAAAGCCAGACTGAAGTCTAAGTTTGCTGTTGTAAAGAGGAGGAAGCTCCTGAATATCTTCCTCAGGGAAGTGACGTGATCAGAATGGTACTTTAGAAAAATTGATTTTGCATTACCTGCCATATGGTTTGAAATTTGGTGGGCTGTCCATAGAAAAGGAAGCTGAGAGCCAATAATGGCATTGCAGGTAGAAGCAGATAGGGCCTGGGCTTGGGAGTTAACAGTAGAAACAGGAAGGAAAAGATGGATATAAGAATTATAATGCAGGAAAGATGAAAATAACTTTGTGACTAATTTTGATGTATATCGGAGGTAGAGTCAAGGATGAATGTGATTACAAAACAATTGAGAAAGTGGAGAGAAGAATTAGAGATGTTGGTTCTACATCAGGCACTATTCACTTGGACATACTCTATACCTTTGTGTACTGTTTTTAATTACTGAAATATTTAATACATCATGTATTTCCTGAGGACTGAGTATAGTCTATCAGTATTTTCAATGATACATATATGTATATATGTATGTATGCATGCATGTATAAATTGTGTATATCAAGTATTTTGTCCCTTTCTACAAGAAATTCATAATTTAGTAGTCAGTGGGTGGTTGGACATGTAAAATCAGAATGGAAACAAATATTTAGGAAGAGTTTAGAGTTGCAAATCATAAGCACACTTTGCTTTTTAGTCAGGTAACAGAAAGAAGAGGCCAATAAAAAATAAATGTAAATGAAAAACCAAGGTAAGAGTCAACAGGTCTGAAAATAGACTATATGGCTAGAAAAAGATGCCCACTGGCTTATATTTTGGTGATGGTACTTTTGTGCTATGAATAAAAACCTGGTTGGTGTACCATGTCAGGGTGTACAGCTTAGCAAATGGTGTATACTTCTGCCCTGAGGGTAAGAACCCAGAACCCTATACATGCCATATGGTCAAAAGTAAAAGCCCAGAAGAATCACATTTCTTTCTCATTCCCTAGTACTTAAAACCTTTCCTTTTGAAGTGTATCCTCAAACTAAAGGTTATCATTGCTGTGATGTCCAACCTAGACCTAGTTGACATTAGAGAGTCACTCAGCATGAGGTGAGGAATTGGTAGTGTTATTCAGAACAATCAATGTGTGTGTGTCTTTTCCTCCTCTTCAAACTTTAGGTCAAACCTACAGATGAAAAGAACCTATAGTTATAACCCAGGGATTAAAGAAACTTTTTAAAACTATGATCATGTTTATGACAACTTAAATAAATTATTAAGATAATTTAAAATGTTTACTTCCAGATAAGATTTTAATAGCAATATGACTTTGGGATGCATCAGTATTCTGCACATTTATTTCTGAACCTTAGAGTTACAGCATAATGCACTTCATAGGATCTCCAAATAATTTACAGTTACTAATTAGAGCTGAACTGTACACTGTTGCATTTCTTTACAATATTAATATCTAAAAGGCCATAAACCTGCCTTCTTGGCTCTTGCCCAGTACCATTCATAAGGCGTATTTTTATTTGACCTACAGTGCTCTCTTTTAACTTTAGCAAATAAGGCACATTTGACTTTTGACAGCCATTAGAGATTTTTATATGAATGTTTGGTTATATCAGAACAAAAATTTACGTTTACTGCATTATTTTCAATCAAGTGTTTTTTTTATTTTTGTTTTTGTAGAGCTAATTCCAGAGATGGAACTATATATTTTATTCACATATTTATATAACACATGCATATAATTTACATAAACTAAGTGTAAATTTCCAATCTTTATGATTTTCTTCAAATGTGATATTGAAAAAAATGAGAGAGAGATTGAGAGACAGAAAGGACCGAGAGAAATTCCTTTAATGTTTAACATGCCTCTAATTACTCATGTTTCCAGAGCAAAGGTTTCATCGATTTCCTTATCAAGACTTTTTTCCCTCTTATTTTCTCCTGTTGCCTGTTCGACCTTTCAGATGACTCTTTATAAAGCTTTGTGTACTAGAAAATAAAATGAAATTTCACCCAGGATATCTTCTTGAGTTTGAAATAATGTGAGTAATAGATTAATACAAAAACACATAGAAGAGGAATTTTGTAGCTGTCTCCTTTAAATACAGGGATTAAACTTAAATATCTAACTTTATTTTAATTAACTGATACTTAAATAAAATTTTAAAAGATAGTTTACAGTTTTATTTACTTCATAATGACAATTTATCTAAACTTAACACTTGCCACCAAGTTATTAATATAATTTTAATAAACAAAATGGAAATAAATCTCACATTTTCACAAAAGATAATTCTTTATGCTAATGATTCAGTAAAATCTATTCTTATACTTTAATTGTGCCTGCATGTTCTCTCTCACACACACAAACACACACACACACACTCACACATGCACACTCATGAGATTGTTTCCTTGAATGGAAATAAAATGCTTATATTGTATAGTAAAGGCAGAAGTAAAATTATTCTCCCAATAAATGAAATTTGATATTGAATATTTTACTCTTTATTTTCTATAGTAATAAAGATTGACTAATATATACCTTCTTGCAATTTGAAGAGATCATTCAGCGGTTTATGCAAGCTTTGTGTTTCAAATATATTAAGTGATATAGGCAGCAATTGTCTTTTATTCCTAGTGCTCAGAGCACCATAAGTCTTAATAATGGCCATCCACATTACCTGGGTTATATTTCCTTTGTTTTTATTCCTTTGTAGATGTGCCATCCAATCCCTATGGAGTGAAGATTATAGAGCTGTCACAGACCACAGCCAAGGTTTCTTTCAGCAAGCCGGACTCCCATGGAGGTGTGCCTATTAATCACTATCAAGTGGATGTTAAAGAAGTGGCATCAGAAACCTGGAAAATAGTACGCTCCCATGGAGTTCAAAGTGAGTCAATGATTTCAGAGTGTGTTGGTTAATTCAAGCTGATCTCCAACATACCTGTGTGATTAGCTTTTTAGTTTCCTTCAACATGCTACTTTTCTTTCTTTTCATGAGATAGGATTGGAAAGACGTTCCCACTGTCTTATTCTTCTTAAGAATACTTTAATAAAGAGTAGAAAAGTTTCCATCTTTAGTAAAGATTAAAGAGTTTTGGGAATTCCCTGGCAGTCCAGTGGTTTGGACTTGGCACTTTCACTGCCATGGGCCTGGGTTCACTCCCTGGTCAGGGAACTAAGATCCTGTAAGCCTTTCGGCTCGGCCAAAAATAAAATTAAAAAAAAAAAAAAAAGTTTAGCAAAATCACCAAAGTTTAATTCCAGGGGAAAAGTTAGTATTTAAAATTTGGGTGTTTGAAAACAAATTGCTGACATGTTACATTTGATGGCTGAATATTATCAAGTGTGTGTTGTCTATTTATTAATAATATTTCTTTCATAAGTAGGTGTGAAAGTCATACTGTAAAATGTATGTCTTGTATATATACTCATGAAGCCATCTATAAAAATTGACCTTGCGTAAGAAAATCTCCTTCAAAATTATGTTTTGAAAACTCAAATTTTTACTGCGTGTCATAAGATTTTGAATAATAGAATTAGCTAGCTATGAGAAGTTAGAACACTTTGCAACAGTTCTTTTCACTTATGTAGAATTTCATCATGTGAATATGTGACTTTTTTCTCCATTATTAGAAGAAACTAAATTAGGGAATAATACTGAATTACCAGAGTTGGACTCTGTTAATTGCACACACACTTATGAGCTTGTTTCCTTGAATGGAAATAAAATGCTTATATTGTATAGTAAAAGCAATACATGGCCCAAAACGACAGTATAAAATAGTGAGGAAAGTACTGCTGCAGAGTGTTCCTCCTTTGCTGGCTCTGCCTTGACCCTAACATGTAGTGTGAAGGTTCTATAAAAGGCATGAGCCCTCCTGGGAAGAATTGTCCTAGTGGACAATGGAGACAGAACAGATAAAATCATTTGAGGCTCACCTGTGTTGGCACCTGCTTGTTCAGTTTTGACTAAGAGTAACTATAGGTTTTTGATAGAAGTGTTGGGAATTTTGTCAATCAATCATGAATCATTTACACATTCTTCAAATAATGCCCCCAAACAGGTCAGCTCTTACCACTGCTTTTAATGATGAGAAATTCTGGATAGTTAATGTTCTTTGTGTACATGCTATGTGATTCAGGAGAGAAGATGCATAAAGGTCATGCAGAAAAGAATGAATGAGTGAGTTCAAGGACGCTAGTAAAAGAAATGATTATCCTAGATGTAGGAGTCATATTTTTTTAAGAAAGAGAAAACAAGAGAGGGTGAAAGGCGAGAGACAGAAAGAGAAGATATTTCTGACAGTAGAGAATATTGATAGTGGGCACTCCATCACAGACATGAAGAAACGGAATGTGAGGTCTGAACAGGATAGAAATTACACTCGGCAGAATAGTACTGCCACACCCTGCCCCTCCACCCTGGGTTAGAGGGAGGAGGTGAATAGATTTTCCCAAGACTTCTTACAAAGTTGCAACACCATGGAGAATTTATCATGGCTTTGGACTGGCCAAGTTCTTCAAGTTCATAAACCTGATTTTGTACCCCATGTATACATCGCTCAGAGGCAAATTCCCATGCTTATAACAGTGGTATATAATAGCAAAGAACATTTGGTGATTTACTGTGAGAAATCACTATCCCAGAAATGAGACATTCAGAGCCTATACAATGAGTACGTGTGTATATTACGTAGGAAAGAAAATGTGTCCGAAGTGTGTTTGGTGAGTCTCTAATGTCAGAAAGAGAAGTCACATGAATATGGCATTTAATGGCTTCAGACTGGGACAGCTTAAAGCTTGCCAATAAGACCAAAATACTTTAAGTCCCGTGGCTGGAGCTTTCTCCCCTTTACATGAGGGAAATATCTGCACTGATACATTTTTTTTCTTTTTCGCAGCTTACTCTCCTTTCAAAGATATGTTAATAAGTTCCTTGAATCAGGTTACAATCATGTAACCAAACATGATCTCAACTCAGTGTAGTACAAACACAATTTTTTAATCCAATTACTCATTTCATCATTTTGGGGGAAATCTCCTTTTCTGTTATTTAACATCTTTAGCAGACACTATAGATTTATGGTCCTCTTCAAGTACAAATACATTCAGTTAAATCCCGCAAAACTTAAAACTTATAAAGTCCAATTTAGCACTCATATTTTCTCTGGCCCCCATACAGCTGGATCTTATCCTGGGGAGCTGAGAGTGGGAAGGTGGCATGAACTACATCTTCTCTCGGAGAGAAAAAAGGAGTCAAATACCTCTTATTTTTCTGGTGCTGTAATTCTCCTCAGGCTGTGCCTGACACCTGTGCTCTCTGTGAGACCACATCTAAATACCTGTCTCCTGGGAATGCATGTGTGGGGTGCAAGCACACCAGAAGACTTTTTGGAGAGAGAGTGTCCTCAGATGGAACACTGCTCAGCTTGACCTCCTCGCCCTTGTCTCAGTAGGTTTCGCCCTGAGTGTAACTATAGTCCATCAACTTTATGGAGTATCCATTTGACCTGAGGAAAAGTTCCACATCCTTATTAAGCTGAAATATAAGAACCTAGACTGCCTCACAGGTTTCCTCTTCCAGAAGACAGATTAATGTTCTGTAAAAACAAGAATTCCAAATGAGGATTGAAATACCAAAGTCCCTCCACCTCCACTTTTTGCTGACAAATCCAATGGATCTATTCATCCGTTTGTGTTATCCTCACCTGCCAGAAAGGAAGAGAGACCTCTCCTAGGAGGAAGGTGCACTACTCCAATGGAATGATATTCTTCTCCGTGTCATCTTCTGCTTATACAGAGTGTGATGCAGTGAGCTTGGGGGTTGGAATGTTGGGACTGAGGTTCCAGAGACAGTTCAGCCTCTTCTTATTCAACTCTGCGGGGGATGCCTAACATTTTCTCAATTGCTTAGTATTTTCCATCTCTTTCTTCTCTTTATGAATTATTGCAGTTGAAAATTCCAAGACAGCAGAAGCAGGCCCACGCATTTCCACACAACTTTCTGTTGCTGGACTTGAGATTAAGTGCACTTTAGTAATCTAATTTAATGTTGAATTTACACTGTATATCTCAAATGATAAGGTGATCTCATTTCATGTATAACAACTCAAATCTTTAAGTGTTTCATCTTGTAGCCCTAGTATTTGGTTAACAGGCAGGAATGTAAATATGTAACTAAGAGAAAAACATAAATGCAAAGGGTAGCCAGGGACAAGCTGGACGATCCCACTGGAACCAATCCTAACAATCTAGAAAATGTGTGTCTGGCATTTGCTCTTCCTTTAGCAAAGAGATGTACCATTTTTGTAAAGATATAGTAAAGATATAGAATAACATAAAGAGATATAGATCAGAATAACAAATGCTTTATGTTGATAGAAATATAAAATATGGAATGCATAATCATAGTCATGTTTTCTGTAAAATTTACATCAATAATTTGAATGTTAGAATATATAACATAGTTTAGATTTAAACTTTCTACCTTAAGCACACATATTTTCATTGAGTCACTACGGTTTCCTTTAAAAGTTATACTTCAACCTTGCTCACATTTTTCCAACCAGACAGGCTTATGTCCTTTTAACAATGCCTAGAATTACCCTTTTACCCTGGCCAACCTACAATGTGCTCTCACAATCAGTCCTTCTTGGAAGTGCTTTCACACTAAAATTCTCTCTTCCCCCAGAATGAGTCTCCAGCAAGCAACAACATATTTCTTACATTATATTGTATTTATATTTTAATATATTACATTATATCATATTCTACTTCTTATACTACAAATCTCTGATTTATCTTTTCTCCTAGCTTATAAATTCCATGAGTGGAACTAGTATGCCCATTCATTTCAGTATTTCAAGTGCCAAAATATACGAGAGTAGAGGGTAGAGGGAATGATGAAATTTGGTAGAGGTGGGAGAAGGGAAAGGGTTATTTTATAGCACCTTATTATTGAGTCTCTGTAAGGTGAATCTGTTATATATCCCCCTTTCAATACATTTGTGTCTACAGAAGAAGCAAGGTATTTATTAGGGATAGACATCTTTGAAAGAAGAGGGGAGAAACAAAGCTGGGAAAATGGAGTAATTGAACTGCAGTGCAGGCTCCACAAAACCTCAGTCAACTGGATGAGGATCTCTCAAGGCAACATTGTCCATCTTGGATGGACCACTTCACTTATAATAAATGGTTATTGAGCAACATGACCTTAAGATGTAGTGGGTCAGTAGGCAGGTCTTGATGGGCAGCTCCAGTTACACGGCCATGTGGTCTGATTGTGATCCCTTAGCCGGTCATTTCTTCTTGCTCAATTACATGCCAGGAATTTTTTTAAAAGGTATATAATTCTGCACAGAATATGGTATTACCTTGCTCATGAAACCTGGAGACTTCATTGTGATTCTCCCCTGGGAATGACCACAAATGCCACAGAATATTTCTTCCCACCCCTAATACATCAAACAACGTTAGGTTCACTGCATCAGTCATATGGCCCAAGTGGCAGGGCAACTTGAACCACTGCTTGGACCTGTTGCAGTGCCCTTTTTTGCTGCGGTCCCAGTTCAACGCTGGCATGGCAGCCTTGTGCACCATTTAGTGCCTAAACTCCATTTTCCTCTGTACATCTCAAAAGTCTAATGCATCAAACTCACTGATGAATACCCTATCAAATCTCCTGCCTCATCAGAGACCTCTACTTTTGGTATCAACTGTTCCATATTTTATTATCCAGTAGCAGACACAGAGATTTAGTTTGGACTGCAGGGTATCTTGTAAAAGGAATTAGGGCTTTGATCAGGCAGGAGGGAAGTTGGACTGTACTGGAGGCATGATAATGCCTCAGCCCACCCATCAAGGAAGTCTGGAATGAGGAGTATTACA